TTTTTTTTTTAAAATCATTTTGTTGACTGCCAATGTTTTTCATCTTTCAAAAAAAAACAAAGAAAAAAAAATACGTCGACGATTCTTGGTTGTTTACTTGTGATACAGATAGTAATAGGGAAAAATGTGAAAAAGAAAAAAGAAATTTAACAACAACAAAAAAAAAACAAAGATAAATGAAGAAACCTATCGATGGACTTGTTTTCGCACGAGTAAATTTTTTCATCATCGAATCGTTTCATCTACACTCACATGTCGCAAAGAAAAAAGAATGACAGAGACAAAAAAGAAAAGGAAAAAAAAAAGAAAAAGTTGAGAAAAATAATAATAACATTTTTTTTTTTGAGTGTCTTTCTCTAAAGAATTGCGCAATTTTGTTTTTTCACAAGTCTTCATCATCGTCGGGTAATGCTGCAATGGCAGCATCATGAATTTCGGCTTCATATTTCTTAATTGTTTCATTATCCATTTGAACTTCAGCTGGCTAAAAAAAAAAAAATAAAATAATATTAAAATAAAAAAAATTTTATTTTAAATAAATATTTACCATAAGAGCAGGCATAGCAGTAAATTCGAGATTAGCATCACCAGCTAATTTACGTGCTAACCAAAGAAATGGTTTTTCAAAATTATAATTTGATCGTGCACTAATATCATAATATTGCATATTATTTTTACGATGAAATGTTATAGCTTTAGCTTTAACTTTACGATCTTTGACATCAACTTTATTACCACAAAGTACAATTGGAATATTTTCACATACACGAATTAAATCCTTATGCCAATTTGGTACATTTTTATATGTTATACGTGATGTTACATCAAACATGATAATAGCGCATTGACCACCAATATAATAACCATCTCGGAGACCTTAATTCAAAAATATAATTATAAAATAATTTGTATAGAGTTTTGTTTTTTTTTTTCTCTCTCTTACCACCGAATTTTTCTTGACCAGCGGTGTCCCATACGTTATAAACAATTAAACCACGATTTGTTTGAAATTGAAGTGGATGAACTTCGACACCGACTGTAGCATTATATTTTTTTTCAAATTCACCAGTTAAATGTCGTTTGACGAATGTTGTTTTTCCTATTTAAATGAATATAATAATAAAAACAAGTTATATTTTCATATTTATATTTATTTAAATTTACATACCGACACCACCATCACCAACTAATACAAGTTTGAATTCGGGTGCTTGTTGAGCCATAATTTTTATTCAAATTCGATTATACTAAATGAAGAGAAAGTATGTATGAGTGGCTTGTGATGATCTACAAAAAAAAACAACGGAAAAACAAAAAGAAAAAAGAAAGAAATTGGATTATTGCACTGAAAAAATGAAACAACAAATATTTATCTATGTTCTTGCGTAATATTATGAATAACAAATAAGAAACTGTCAGAAGATTGAAAAAAAATTTTCTGTCATACACACAGTATCCGTACAGGTCTGTGGGAGGTCATCATACAGTCTCTTTGTTTTTCTAAAGGAAAAAAATTGGACGTTTCTTGCTGTCTGCTAAAATAATGAATGAATGCACTTAGATTACAAAAAGACAACAAAGTACAAAGACATCCATATTTTCCCATTTAATGAATGATTCATAAGTTTCCTTTCTTCTTCTTATGCTTTTTGTGTTCTACTACCTCAGTCGCGATGTTTGTGCCAGCAACAAAAAACAAAAGATGTCGCCAGTTTGACATCAAACATCTTTGACCAGCAAAGTTTAATAAAAAAAAACAAAAAACAAAAAGAAAACGAAAAGAAGAAACAGAGAAAGCGCGCACACAACGCTGAAGAAATGTCTGCCCTAATATATACAAAAAAAAAAGTAAGTTCGTTGATACAAAAAAAAAGAAAACGAAAAAAAAAGTAGAAGAGACGCACACACACACGAAGGATAGTATATTCATGCACACACACACACCAAAAATAATAACGTTGGTTTTTCTTTGTCTCTCTCTCTCTCTTAGAGTTAATGTGAACAAAAAAAAGCAACAAAGTTATGTTTAATCTTTTGAAACTAAAACACGAAAAAAAAAAGCGAGTCGAAGTGAAGAAATTCTATTTACAATAAAACTAGAGACAAAAAAAAACCGAAGTGCTTATCAGCCGCGTAGAAAGAGATAATTTGTTATGTTCACTGGTGAGAAAGAGAGAGTTAGAAAAAAAAAACGAAACGATTCACACGGGTTCTTGAACAAAAAAGGAAAAAAACAAAAAGAAAGGAAAATCGAAAAAGAAAAGAAAAAAAAAATATATATATATATTTTTTAAATAATTGTGCAACACACTCGATTTTTGTCTGATGTATGTTGATGAGGTTTTCGTGTATTTTCAATATTCATTGTATTATCTGTATTAGATTTTTGTTGTTGTTGATGTTTAAGTAATGAATATTTAAGTGTTGATAATACTGAATGTTGAGATGATGTTGTTGATGTTGACATTGGATTAATATGTCCATTTGATTGATTAATATTATCTGTTGTTGGTACAATAACATTAGATTTTGTTAAACCATTACTTGTTTTTTTTCCTAAAGGTGATTTTATATTTATATTTGATGATGATATTAATGGTGGTGATATATCTTCTTCAACAATAATTGGTGTTTGTATATGTTCATGATGTGATGGTGTTTGTTGTAAACGTTGATGTTCAATTATTGTTTTAATTGCATCTGTTGTATCATGATGTTGAGTTTGTTGTAATAAACGTACAACAGGTGGTGCATCAGTTTTTGTAAATACAGTTGATTCACGTGGTGTTGAATAACGTATTGATGTTCGAGATGCAATAGACATTTGTGATGGATTAGCAAGACGATGTTCTGTTGATAAACTACGTGCACGATCATTCATTAATGTTAAACTTGTTGTTGCTGATATATCATTATTAATTATTTCATCATTTGTACCATTTAATACTAAACGATTATTTGATGCTATTGAACCAGCACGTGAAAAACTACGACGTTTTGTATTTTCACCTGTATTACTAGTTGAAATCATCTGTTGTTGTTGTTGATTAGTTCCATCAGCTAGGAAAAGAAAAAAAAAATTTTTGTTAATTATGATATTATTAATATCAAAGAAGCTTTTTTTTGTTTTCGTTTATTCATACCAGCTAATGCATCAATGGAATCTTGAAATGAACTTGGTCGTGTGGGTGAACGTGTATGTTGTTTACGATTGGATGAACGATTTAGATCATTTGTAACTCCATTATCTTCACTATCTGAATTGGAACGACTACGAGAAAAATTTCGACGTTTTGTTTCAACAACAGAACGTAAATCTTTTGAACGAAGTACACCACTTGTTGTTATTGAACTATCAACAGTTGTTGTACCAGCATGACTAATAAATATAGTTGTATTTGGTGTTGAAAGATTATCATCATCTTCAATATCTTCATCTTCATCTTCTTCTATAATAATACAAAATATAATAGATCATATTTAAAAATAAGAATGTCTATCGTACCACTTTCAACTATTTTATTCAGTTTTGGAAGATTTCCTATTTGTTGAATTGCACCAGCAGTTTTACTGAAATAAAAAAGTGAAAATATTTATTATTATTATGTTTATTAAAAACAAAAAAGACAGATTTTTACTCAGTCGGTGGTGATTCAGAATTTTCATCTTCTTCAAGAATAATTCTCATAGCTTGAGTTGGTGTTGGTGTAGTTGGATTTGTTGAACGTTGTTGTAAGGATGGTCGTTCTTCTTCATCTTCAAGTAAAGCTAAAAGAAAAGATCTTTTAATGATTATGAGAGAGACAAAATAATTTAAAAGGCAAAAGCAAAAATTTTTTTTTTGTTTGTTTAATCATCAAGCCCATAATACGAACATATTAAGAAGGTTGAATTGTGACATACAAAAAGTTTACAGAATATTACGAAAGTCTGTACGAAAGAATATTATGAAAAACTACTCTATAAGTTTCATAGAATGGTTTTTCTTTTTCGATAATCACTTCTCAAGTCGTTAAAAATGTCATTAATTTTCATCATTTTCTTTTGATCTTGCTTTCTAGGATATTAAAATATTTGCTAATACTTCTTGACCTATTAATTAATTAAAAGATATTTTTAACTCTATGAACTTAATGTTAATCGGCTTTTTTTCTGCATGCTCATTAGAAAAGGAAAATCTCTAAAATATTGAATTGAGCAAGATTTTCAAAAAAGCATGACATAGCAGAACAGTGTCATCTAAAAAGCGGTTTTAAAGGGTAGAGGGGCTGGACAGGAGGGGGGGGGGGAAATGTGTACCGGCGCAATATGTCGTTACTTGAATTGTCAACGCCTAATTTCTTCAAGTATTCGTGTCATTCGCACTATGTTCTCTCTCGCTCTCGTTTTCTCAGGCTCGTTATTTTGATGTCCTCGAATAATTTAATTAACCTTAGCGAGAAATTTATATAATAAGTTGAATCTGATAATAAGCTAGTTGGATATCTAAGGAAAGAGAGCTCGACTTCTAATAATGATTCTAGAAAAAAGCTCAAGTTCATTTTTCAGTGGAATTTGACCGTTTGTAGTGAAACAAGAAAGACTAAGCTTGAAAAACATTTTCAAGAATTCAATTGAACTATTTATAATTGTCTTTCATTCAGACTTTTGTATTTTAAAATGTATATCGAATAAATATTGTATATATGTGATTATTATATTTAATGAAAATAGTTCATAAATCATTTAATGTGCATTAGAAAATACATTTTTGAAATCATATAATCATGTTGTATAGCAAAAAAAGCATTTATAACTACTTAACAATAATAGCGCACCATTATCAAGACAAAGTTGAAACTGAACTTTATTAGGTTCACTAGATTCTGAATAAAATTGTACAACTAAGAAAATTTGTTTTTGTTTATCTATATGATTTAATAAATTAAAATTTTTTTTTTTTTGTTTTTCTAAATAAAATCATTTGTATAAAATCCATCAATCAAAGTTTGTTTTTATTTCAATGATAAAGTTCCAAATAAAATTTATAAAATGTTTTTACCTGGTAAAGTTTGTTCAGTTGAAGAATCAATTGAATGTCGTGGTGTTGTCAATACTGGTGGTATATTTTCTTTTCCCGTACTAAATATTAACAAATAAATATATGAACGAAAATTTATTTTAATTTATATAAGCATGAAAAAGAAATAACAGGTTTTCTCATTTCCCGAGGTAGAATTAAAAGCAATCATCCCGAAGATTGTTATTATTATTATCATCTTACAAAGTTAACTTCTCAATATCAATATTATCCATATTCTCATCCGTCAATGAACCTTGTCTTGTAGCTGGTAAGGATACATCCGCAAAACAAAAACTAAAAGAACAATAGAATTATATTTTTCTCAGTGATTAAAATAATTTGATTCTTTATATTCTATATTGTATATAAAAATCATAATGTTATTTTTTTTTCTCAATAATAAGATTTTCTAATTAAAACAAAACTTACTTTGATGATGATGATGACATAAAGACTCCTATTTGTTCTGTAAATGGATCACTAGCTGGTTGTAAACGTCGCTGTCGTTTTGCACTACGTTCATTATCTTCACTTTTCTCATATAGACGATCATTTAACATTTTTTCTGCTAGTAAATAGTATGTTGCTGTTATATGATTATATTGATCTTCATTTAAAGCTCTACGAAAAAAAAAAAAAATTACATAAAATAAATAAATAAAAAAATGTCAACTCTATTAAATTTACTGTAAAATTGCATCACGTTCAGCTATATTTCCATCAGTCATTTGTTGAAGAATTGATTCATGATCATCTAGTGATATTGTTTTATGTGATATTAATGGTAATGAATCAACATAATGTTGATCCTCAACATCATCATTATCATCGTCACATTGATGATACCATATATCAGACATAACTTCATCTAATGTTGCACGTTTTTCAGGTTCACGTACAATCATTCGATGAATTAAACTAAAAATAAAATTTAAAAAAAAAAAAAGAATTGTTTTTTTGTTTTTTTAGGAAATCAAATACTTTTGACATTCTGGTGAAATATGCGGTGGAAGTTTATAACAACAATCTAAAATCATCATTACTGTTTCGGAATCATTGGCTTCTTGGAATGGTGCTCGGCCAGTAACAAGCATAAATAATATTACACCTAAACTCCATATATCTAAAAATTGATTTTGATTTATATCGAATATATATGTATTTTGTCTAGTTTAAATTTACCTATGGCTGGTGCATCATATGGATCACCAAGTAAAATTTCTGGCGCTGAATATGCAAGAGATCCACAACTAGTGAGCAATTTTTTACCAGGTGAAAATTGATTGGAAAAACCTTTGATGTAATAATGTATTTTAATTTTTTTTTATGTAAAAGAAAATATTCTTACCAAAATCAGTTAATTTAACAACACCTTGTTTTTCAAAAAATACCAAATTTTCAGGCTACAAAAATTTAAAAAAAAAGAATATTTTATAATTAATTAAAATTTCAAAATCTTAAGAATAATTTTTATGATAGAAATGAAATCTATTATAATCATGGATAATTGATTAATGAAATAAATCATAGATTTCGTTTATCTTTTTATTGGATTGATCAATGATGCGAGGCAGTCAAGGACTTATAAGAGAAGCCATTCAACTGATTAATTGCTTATAAGTGAGAACAAAGTACATCATGTAAAATCTACTCAGTTATGAATACCCTGAAAACAATTTGTGCTATTAGCTTAGTGCTATCGATCTTTTATATTTGTTTTTTAATCAAAGTTTTGCTTCTCGGATAGGAATATTGAGAAATAATGATATACAAATTTCAACTTGAAATTTAACATAGAGATACATCTTATTAGAGAATAGATTATTGTGAACATTTCAAATCTTCTGAACAATGAAAATATCTATGACAAAACTATATCTTTATGGCAACTTTCAAGACAAAAGTTACAAAAAAAAAAAAACATTTTTTCTCGATGTTTCTTAGGATCAGACAAAAAAATTTACTGTAAAACCACAATATTTTGGTAGTAATAAGACCAATAATACGAACTCTTTTTGAGAGGAATTCATAAATCATAAGAATCTACATAATATCGATTATTCTGACTAAAAAAGTGATTAATCAGCTGAAGGATTTTTTTTCGTCAATGGGGAAAAACTTTGGTTTGTGTCAGCTGAAATGAATAGCTCTGTATATTTAATATCACTTTTTCATTTCCATCATTAGCAATGTAATCTATAATCTTCTTTAACATATTATTCATCCAAAAATTATCTGTATAATTATATAATACTAATAATTAAAGTATGTGTAAATGAGAATATTAAAATAGTATTTTCTTATTGTTCTATTTAAAATCTTTTCATTTATTTTTAGTATCTATTAAAGAGAAAATATTCTCGTCAAGACAATTATCGTTTTCTTTATTATCTTAAGATTCTATTGAGATTTCTTTTTTTTTTGTTGTCTTTCATCATACACTTAAAATATTTTCTTTCATTTGTCTCATTAGAAAAAAAGAATACTGAAACATCATTTATATTAATATTTCATAGAATCAATAATTTCTTTTTATTTATGTAAAATGAAAAATAAAAAAAAATAAGAAACATTGTTTTCTTTATTCTTACTTTAAGATCACGATGACATACATGCATTTCATGACAATATTTAAGTGCTCGACATATTTGTCGAAAATATCTACGAGCAGTTGATTCATTGAGACCATTAGCATGTTTCATAATATAATCATACATATCACCACCATCACCAAATTCCAAAATAAGATAAAGTTTATTTGGTGTATCAATAACTTCATATAAACGAACAACATTTGGATGTTGAACTAATTTCATACACATAACTTCTTGAAATAAATGAGCTTTTGATATATCATCAAGTTTTGTTTTATCAATAACTTTAACTGCAACTTCTTTTTGTGTAAAAACATGTCGAGCAAGTTTTACAATAGCAAAATGACCCGTACCAATTGTTGCACCTTGAACAAAAAAACAAAAAAAAATAAAAAATAAAACAAACAATGAATATGAATAAGAAATTTATCGTTCGATTAACTTACCTAATGTATAAAGGCCACTGACTAAATTACGTAAATCTGAAAGTCGACGTTCGGTGGACATATTTGTTGGATATTTAACTACATTTTCTTGGTATTTATTCACTTTCTTTATACAATTATGCTGAATAAGAGTAATAAATGAGATTCCATTGATCGAGTCTAGAAGACAAAAACAATAGGAAAAGAGATGCGATGATTGATTAGGCAAGGGTTGTATTAGGATAGAAAAGAAAAAAAAAAGTATGAGTCTGTCAACATCTAATTAAGATATATGATAAACATTGTCAAGTAAAATATGTCAAATATTTACAGAAAAAATATGAAAAAAGTATCCGCATGGTTAAAGGCAAATTTCATGTTTTCTTTCATCGTCCTATTCAAGATTGTCTCTTATTATTAGATAATTAAAAGCAGTTCGATAGGAATTTATGTTTCTTTTTATCTTTCTAGAAAAATTCTAAATTCAAATAAGTATCTACAAAGACTATTATCAATACGCACACTTTTTACTCTCAAGACAAACATAAATAAGTACTCTAAATATTTTTTTAATTTCGTTTACACTATAAAAATAACTTTATTAAATACTGTTTTTTTTTCTTCTTGGTAATGAAGCGCTATTATCTTAATATGAATCAGAGTCTATTATACTTGCACTAAACGGGCTTTTTTCTTTGATAGCTATATACCCTATCTTCTCTAATATTGTAACCTGTTCGTCTATTATAAATGTGAAGAAAGCTGTCAATCTATGACTGTTAGATATAAAAAAGAAAGACGAGAGAACACGGAAGATTTGACCTTGTTTCTCTCTTTCTTCATTTTACATGTATGCACCGCACATACACTATATATATATACTTTCAACTGTATCAAGCAGGTCATTGACTTTATCTAGAAAATATCGAAGCATGACATTGATGGTATATCTCTTGAGACAGAAATATTCTCATATGTGGCATTAGTATTATTTTTATTTGTCAACAAATCAGAAAGCAAAAAATAATCATAATCGAAAAAATAGCTAATGTTCTATTATGAATCAATTCAATTTAATGACGTAGTTCGCTTTTTCTTTTTTCTTTGTGAATATAAGGCAGCTCAGAGGCCATGACAATCATCATTAAAATCAGGTTTATTTTTTAAGGAAACCATGTACATATGACTTCATCATTGCTGCTAAATATGTTGGTGTAAAAAAAAAAAAACGAAAAGAAAGAAAATGTTGATGGTTTTTTTATGAGATAATAATGAAAGAGGTTGACTATTTGATTCATTTGATCGATAATGTTCTTACCTATTCATCTAATCTTAGTCAGTTTTTTCTTTGAATATATTCTAACTGAAGATATTTTACTTCCATCATCTATTATGAATAATCAATCATTATTAATATCATCATCATCATTTTATCTTTGTCATTTACATCAATTAAATAATTCAAAAATTTTTTTTCTTCAAGGTTACAAAATAATAAATGGTGAACATACAGGTAATGTTCATCATTTACTTCTTTATGAATGTTCAATTAAAGATAATCTTATATATTCGGGATTATGTGGAATGCATAACGCTCGTTTAATGCCTTCATCTGTTTATCGTCATTGTCAAACACGAATTATTATTGCATGGGCTCAAGGTGGTCAACTTAATTATAATTATCCAACTGATACAGGTTTAAAAATGAATTCATATACACAACTTCTACTTGAAGTTCATTTCGAACCATCTATTCCATATAATCATACTATTGGTATACATTTACGATTTTATCCAATAGATAAAAAACCTCAATATGAAATAGGAGTTCTAACATTGGGTACATTAGCTCATTCTCCACTATTTCTTCCTCCAGGTCTTGATACAATACGTTTTCCAACATATTGTTTTAATGATTGTTTAAAATATTTTCTTAAAAATCAATTTATTATCAATATTTTTTCTATACTTGTTCATGCACATCGACGTGCAACTCGTATAATACTTGAAAAAAATAATTTCAATCGATTATTCGATCAAAATCCATTTAAATATCATCAACAAGAAAATATTTATTTTACTAAACCTTATCCACAAATAAATTCTACAAATGAACTCACTCTAATATGTTATTATTCAACACGTCATGATTATTCAAAAGCTATTTATGGTGGTTATAATTCCAATGATGAAATGTGTCAAGCATTTCTTTATTATTATCCTAAAATAGAATCATTTCCATTATGTCTTTCTTTACCTGTTTATAAAAATAAACATCTATTGAATAATAATCAAATATGGACAAATAAATTAAGTTTATTTATTAAATATGAATTAGAATCAAATTTAAATCATCTTAGTTTATGTGGTGATAATATCTATCATAATAATAATCAAACAATACTTCATAGAAAATTCTATCAACGTTCAATACAAAATATTACACCATATTTTTATATTTATATAAATTTTTCTTCACTTTTTTATATTATTATTCTTTTTCTTCTAATTTCTACTATTTATTGTTATTTACATACAAAAAAAACACTTACATTCTTTTTCTAATGGTGGCACTTTGTCGAGTGTTTACAAACTAATAGAAATTAAATCTTATATTTCTTTTACATAAAAGAAAAAAAAAACAACACAAAACAAGACTTACTGTGTAATAAGAATTTCAATGATTCTAATTATAATACAAACATGCTCAATTGCCTTTCCAATAAAATATAAACATGTACAACAATAACAAAAAAAAGAAATTTTTTTTTTTTGTTTTATTTTTCTTTCTAAAATAAAAATAAAATAAAAATTAATATATATACAAACAAAAGTTTTATATCAGCTCAGACAGCCAAGACAAACAACATAAAATATATTCAGTATTTTTTAAGCGAAACCTTGTCTTTTTCTTTTCATCATTGCTGATATATCTGGATTCGTATATAATATAAACAAACAAATGATTTGATATAGACATATCTATATATGATCTGTTCTATTATTTTTATGAAATAAACAATGAGTAAAAGGGAAAACAATTAAGTTCACAACAGGTCCAAGCCATATCAATTAAAGTAAACCGGAAGAAAAAATTGTATTTTACATATTATTAGGGAAAAACTTAAAAACAAAAAAACAAAATTAATAACATATTTAATTTATCTATTTACTCGGTTTATTGCGTTTACTCTTTTTTTTTCTTTTTCTTCTGTTCATTATTGCATCTATATTCTGTTACGATAATAGAGCAAATAAAATGAACGTAGTTAAAATATCACAAAAGTCAATATAAAGAATCTTTTGTTTTTTGAATATATACATATTGTAAAAAATATATCCAAAAAAAACATTCGGGTTGTTTTATTTTATTATGATGATTTACTAAATGATTGTTGTAGTTGATGAAGACGTTTAAATTCTTTTAATACAGGTAAATTGAGCATTGTTTCATTATCAATATCATTCCAATTAAGTTCTTTTGGACGTGAAAATTTATTTTGAGTATAAATTATACGTTGTGGTGTTATTATAACATTCACTGGTCTAAATAATTCAGTAAAAACAAAAAAAAAAAAATTGATTAAATAACATACAAATCATGTTCAGTCATGACAGATTCTGGAAGATCATTAAGTAATTGACTTTCATGTACAGTTGTAACAACAAGTGTTTTATTATTACATGCACCTAATTGATGCATCATTGCATATTCAATATCTCCATAACCTTTACCCTTACCTAGATGAATAATAAAACTTTTATGTTTTTTTGTTTTTACTAACAATAAAATCTATCTGTATGAAGTTATTTCAAAAAAAGTCATTTTTTATTGACGGATGTTTTTTTTGTAACATTTAAAATGCTCTTTAACCTTTGTATTATAATAAAAATTATTTTTATTAAGTCAAGCTAAGAAATGAAGACTTATTTTTCCTTTCTTTTATATAAATTTACTAGGAAATACTTACTAGTAAAATACAGTCTGAACACTGTTTTAGCTAGGACAATATATTAGTTGATAGAACTTAAAATTTTGAGCCTTTCAGATCAAACTTCTAACAAAATAAATGTTTGGAAAATGAAGTCTAATGTAGTTCTATTAAATATTTTGTATTGCTTAGAACCATCATGTATTTACCACAATTTTGTCTAATATCATTGTTTCGAATGTTTATTTATTTGAGTTTCTGGTTCGGAGTAGGACTCACGAGGGAATATTGCCAACTGTCATATTGCTTCTCAGTCGAGCGTATGCGTATCATGTAGGCTCTAATGATCTATGAATACTCTGAAAAAAGTTCGTGCTGCTAGCTTATTACTACCGAGATATTGCATTTTTACTGTATGTTAAAGAAAAAAAAAGCCGTAGTCTCCCTCAGGAACACTAGGAAAACTGAGTTTCGAATTTCAACTTGAAACTTTGCATTGAGATAGACCTCAATGAGAATAGTTTATTGTGAAAGTTTCAGATCTTTTCGTTGTTCCTATCCTAAGATACAGCTATGGTAAAATCGCTGATATACACCAGCAGACTCCGATATTCTTATTTCAGACTAGGAGTAATCAAAAGATCTGAAACTGTCACAATAAACTATTCTCATTGAGGCTTATCTCTATACAAAGTTTCAAGTTGAAATTCGAAACTCAGTTGTCCTAGTGTTCCTGAGGGGGACCACGGCTTTCTGCTTAAACATACAGTAAAAATGTAATATGTCGGTAGTAATAAGCTAGCAGGACGAAGTTTTTTTCAGATTATTCATAGATCATTAGAGCCTACATGATGCGCATACGCTCGACTCAAAAGCGATGTGACAGTTGGGAATATTTCCTCGTCAGTAAATTTAGAATTTAAAGCTCTAACGATTGTTATATATGTGCCACGTAAAACGGCGTTTAGAATATGTCAGAACATATTTTATCAGTACCCAAAGGAAATCGTTGACAAAACTTTCGTATTGGAAGTGAATAAATAAAATTGCTTTCTTTTTTCTTGTATGTCAATGTTAATTTTGATAGAGAATAAAATACTCAAGAGAAAAGCCAAATGATGATGTCGATATCAATTTTGAATTTAGAATTTTGATTGATGAACTAAACGTACATGATAGGTTTGTTTTTCTCGTTCTGTAATAGTTTATTTGTACATTAAATGTGTATTAGAATAATTTCAAGTAGTTTTATTGTTGAATGAATATATCATAGAATATTATTTACATATTATTATATTTAAGATCAATTCATCGACGAAATATATTATGATTTCACAAGGGATCTGTTCGAGTTATAACCCGTCGCGTGACCTCATTTTGGACCTACAAAAAGGTTGCCGTAAAACCAGAAAAAGCCTAGAAGAGTTGGTTTACACGACCCTATGGAATCAAGCTATGGTGGTTGCCCTAAATTTTCAACTTGAAATTTTGTCTAATCATAATTCTATTGATTGCTAGAATATCTTGAAAGTTTCAACCAAAAAACAAAATGTTCCTTTATCGAGATATTGAGTTTTCAAATAGACTCAATTTTGGTAATATATCTATGGCAAACGGCTATTTTTCTGAAAATGACACATCTTGACAAAGCAACCTTCTAGTAGATTGAATATAAGCTCAAATGGCAAGTTACAATTAGCATAATTCTCTCCTCAGTGCTAATAATTCGAAACTAAACATTAGTTTTAAAGACAAAACCAAGTTTTTAAATCAAATATTTCACTTCATAAAACGAATTATTTTTTTTTTAACAATTTCTTACCTACTCGAGCACCACTTATGGGATTAACAACCACAGAAGCAACAACAAAAATATCTACATGAAGTTTTCCAACAGATGTTAAATCAACAATTGTACCAAGAGCAGCTGCACCTATAAATTAAAATTGTAATTATTTTTTTTTCTTTTTTTTTGTGTAAAAAGAATTATACCGGATTTTGTTGCTGCTCGTGATAAATCTTGTACACGTAAAAATTTTGGATCAAGTTTATAAAAAAGTGCATTATCAATAGACGGTGCTGGCGTAAGAAGTATTTTTCCTTAAAATAACAAAAGAAAACTTTGATTTTTTATTTAAAAAAAAAAAAAAAAAAATTTAATTACCTTCTGATAATGAAAATAAACGTAAATGTTCTTGTGCAAGACTTGGACAAATTTCAATAACACGTGCTTGTTGAAATTCTTCAAGTTGTGCTAAATTAATTGAACAATTTGGATTATTTCGAAAATTTGGAATACGTCCATGAACTACAAAACAAAAAATTCTAATTAAAAATATTCGAAAAAAAAATAAATTTTTCAATTATTTTTAAACATACCAGGACGTGGATATGATATTTCATTTTTTAATTCCATTATATCCCAAATAATTGTACGTGCACGTGCTTTAATTAGTTGAGATGATATATTATTATTTATTTTTATTATTGATTCATTTCTATTATCATCATATGATTGTATCCAACTTTCAATATGAATTAATTTTGATAAAATACCTGGTTGTTTAAGTATACGATCAATATGAATTAATTTATTACATATATCACGTAATGATATCCATAAATGAACAGTATCACGTTCAATAAATAATAAATGTTCATTTGAAATATTTTTTTCTTTATTTGATCTATTAGATAATGAACGAACATAATTTAGTGCAGAATTTTGACGAGAAAAAATTGGTGGATCTGTTTGATCAATATAATTTAATTCAATTGAAGATTTATGTGGAATAAGTAAAGTACATATACAAATATCAATTTCAGGACCAAAAGCAATAAATCGACAATGGCCTTTGAAATCAATCTTAAAAATAAAAACAACATTTCTCATATTAAAAAAATATGTATCGATTCAAAAGAAATATAAAGATTTTTATACATTGAATTAAGCGATATTATTTTTGTTGTTAAACTTAATATCGATAAGTGTGTACCCTGGCGTTGTACTTTTATAACAATAATTAAGTAAATATTAGAAATTATTCAGACAGAATATCACAAATAGTTTTATAATGCTTTTGGCAAAATCAATTTTGAAAAGAAATATTAATATTCTTCAAGCACTACTTAAGAGCTGCAAGTCTTTTTGAATTTAAATTTCAGACTCGATTGATAATATGAATAGAAAATAAAATATGAACTTACCTTATAATGCAATCATTCCTGTTTTTCATCTTTTACTAATAGTTAATCAACATGAGAAACCTTAATTTTTTATGTATTTATGTGACCGAAAGATGGCAGATGTAGGTGAAAAAAAAAAACTCATGTCTGCTCTCTATCATATTCAAGCTTGAGTACAGAATGAAAGTTCAAAAAAATATTGATCTGTAACTTTGTAAATAGAAAACAATTTTCAAAGAAAAAAATCATACTCTAAAATAGTTTTCTAATTAAGAGATGCATCTTCAAATTGTAGGGAAATTCAGTTCAATGAACGAAAAAAAAATGATTATATTACTTATAATCAATAGAAAAGAAAACATTGAAAAGCTTTTATACACTGATTTGATAATGTCATTCTATTTATATATATAGCTATTCAAAAATATCATTTATATAGGATTTTCTATGACATTGATTTCCGTTAAGAGACGTGTTCAGAGATCTGACGAATGTTATAAATTATAGGCTATGTTTTCGTTGCATGCTATCGACTCAATTAAGTCACCAAAAAAAAAATATATATATATATCGTCTATGTGTCAAAAGCAATAATCAAACAAAATCTTTTTTGTTATTTTTCTTTAAAGAAACGATGAAAAGAAAATGCGTTCGATTTATTTTCCAGCTGTTTCACACGTACTCATTCAAAATATTTAAATAGAATAAATATTTCCAAAAGAAAAAAACGTCCTAGTTTTTTTTTTTTTTTATAATATAAATTATGTTATTTTATTATGATTATACTTGTTGACATATATCTTCATATATAATCGTAATTAATAAAAGTTGTTAACATATTTCCAATGGGATTCAAAGATAATACACAAAAGACTTGTTTTCATTTTTACAAAAAGAGAATTTACTAACATATGTTTTAACTTATTGATTACCACCTACTGTTTATCGATGTCAATGATGAAAAATGTTAATCATAATATAAAACAGTGACTAAGAAAGAATAACTATCTTCGAACTCAGTTGTGTTTTATATTAATTCTATAACAGACTATCATTTCATAGGTACATCTGCCATGATCTATAAGAAGGGCACGATTATATAAAAGAAGTATTACTCAGCTGTTCTCTCCTCCTACACTGTAATAAAAACAAAGAAGGCGTTTTTTTCAGCTGACCTTTATAATCTATGAGAAATCGGCAGATGATTAAACTTTCTTTTTTTTTTTGTTTTGTTTTTATTTGACCTCTAATTTTTGTCATTAGTATGACATGAGAAAAAAACAACTAATGCATTATGTCATGTGATATTTTATTAAACATTCTAGAAAAATGAATATTTTTATTTTGTTATTAAAAAAAAGATTTTTGCTGAAAAGTATTCTATAAAAACCAATATTGAAATGTATTTTATCATTTTTGACTTCCGCTGTTTGATCATTGAAAAAAAAAAAGACATCTCAAATTTCCATTTCTATCTATCAAATATATTCGTTTTAGATCATGTTTCATAAATAAGGATGACTTTGTTTTCTACAAAAAGAAAAATACCTTTTGCAAAAAAACAAAAAAAAATCAATTACTTTACATCTCGACGAAGATGAAAAATGAGTAGTGCTTATAATACATATAGAGTTACTTACATCTGTACATTTGTACTATGGACATTAGTGATCATATATTGACATTAACATACAAGGTTTCTTTTTCTTCGAAGAATAGATCGGAAATTTAGTTTGAATTTTTTTTTTGTTTCTACAAGAATTTATTTAAACGAATATGAATTAATGTTAAGAGTAAGAAAAAATTAAATGTTAAAAAAACTTCTATCTAATCAAAATTTGAACGGAGATTGTTAAAGTTGTTTTAGTATTCAAATAAATAATATTCTTGCAAACAAATCAATATTCTATGTTTGTGAAAAATTGCAAATATTATCATCATTGACATTTAAAATAATAAATTCTGATAATTCTCTTTACCACGGATCACATATTGTATTATCTATAAAGTTTGTTTTTGATTTCTTTATGTTAATAAATAAAAATTATTCATTGAAACATCTATATCTTTTTCTTATTACTATTTTTTTTAGTGAAGTTATTAATAAAACTGATTTTTTCTTTTTTTTGGTTTCTTTAGATTATTCTTATAAAAACAATACAAAAAAATAAAAAGGAAGTTTACATAAACTTCTATCATTAAACAAAAAATTAACCTTAAGTAAAGATATTTTAAAATTTCTATTGAAATATTACTAATAGTTCTTCGTATAGATGTTGATTAAATTTTTGTTTCATGGTTAATTTATTTTTAGACATTTCTTTGAAGTTCTCTATGATGAATTATTTTCATCACAATATTCTAAAATTATCATTACAAAACATTTGATTGATTAGATTTCAAAAAATTTTATGATGACTTAAAAAACCTACTTGTTATGAAAGAGAAAGATTTATCAATACGATAAAAAAAAAAAAAAGGAAAGTTATTTAATCGAGTTCGTCAAAAATTTCATATCGAGCAAGCACGAGACGATTTTTCTTTTGGAACTGTAGATTTTGTGTTTAATTATTTTGCCGAAAAAAAAGGAACATGAAATCACGAACAAATATCTTCTATCAAATTTTCATAGGTCATTTTTGTTTTTCTTAATTATGTTTAAATTTAAATATTTCGAATAGTTTTTAATCATAATTTGTTAATATCTTTCAAAAAAAATAGAGCTATTAATAAATAATACTTCTATTTTGATTTTATTAGATAATAAATTTTCTATAGAAAATGAGTAATTAAAAATTCTTTTTTTTTTTTACCTTATTTTCAATATTTTCTTCATCTTTATTTGTTATATTAAATAAATATCGAAGAATATTTGAATTTTTTATTATTTCACATACAGTTTGAATTGAACCTGATGGAAGTATAGATAAATAATAAGGTGTTAAATAAAATTCTTTTGAATGAATATTTTTTGATAAAATTCTTTTATTTATATCAGACGATGTTGATAATAATGGATTAATTTGAAAATCATATTTAAGTAGAACATGTGGATAAGATTCAAGTTGACATACAGGCAATACAATAACACGCATATTTTATTTAATTGAAATTAGAAGAGTTTTTTTTTTATATATACAAGAAGTTAACATATGCTCTAGAAGAGAAAGAATTTTTTTTTTTGTTCTTTTTGAAAGAAATCAAAAATATATTGAAAGAAGAGAAAATTCAATTTTTCTTATTTTTTTTGCTTGCCGTCGATCGGACAGTGTCTTTTTCTCTCATCTTGGTTAGCTTAGAACTCTCCCGTCTTCCTCCACTAAATTATTTAATTAAAAAAATAAATAATAATAATTAACAAAACTTAACTATTTCATATAAAAATTTTCATAACAGAAAATAAAGCTTTTTTTTCATCCTACTAATAAAACATAAAATATGTAAGTGCATTAATGTGTTATTTTATTGAATGATGAACGATTGATTGTTCGGCTATAATACAATGTTTATTTATTGTTTATTCTTCTTCTTCTTTTTTTTTGTGTGTTTCTTCGAAATAGAATTCTATGTATGAATTAAAATTGACAATTTGTTTTTTTTTTTTTTTTTCTTTTAGATTCAACGACGAAAAAAACAAGACTAAAACCATTTCAGATTGGTTTTTCATTTTCTTCGTTTTCTACAACGTGGCATTTCATCTTATCGTGATTCATATCATATACTAAAAACAAAAAGTTTTTATTATTATTATTTATTTTTTTTTTCGACAATATTTCAAATAGAACTATGACACTTCAACTCATTCCGAATGGTGATCTCATTTTTAAAGGTCCATTTAATGTTGTATCAACAACAACACTTAAATTATCAAATAGTGGTAATGAACGACTTGCTTATAAAATAAAAACAACTGCTCCAAAACGTTATTGCGTTAAACCAAATAGTGGTTTCCTTGAACCACATGGTACAGCAAATATTCAAGGTTAAATTAAATAATGAAAAAAAAAATGTTTTTTTTTTTGAATAACTTTTGTTTTTTTTTTTTAAAGTTATGTTGCAACCACAAACATCAGGTCAAGAAGATGATCGTAGTAAACATAAATTTATGGTACAATGGGTTGATGTACCAAATACTTATTCGGATGATGTAGAAAATTTTGTATGTTAATAATTAAATTTTCAAAAAAAGGAAAAGAATTTTTCTTCTGTTTTATGATTTTTAGTGGAAACAAGATTTATCAAAAAATAATGTACATGATTCGAAATTAAAATGTGTTTTTGCTGATGAACAACCAGCTGCTGTTGTACCAAATGATTCACATGGACAAAAAGATATTGAAACAGTAAATTAATATAAAAAAAAAAGAAAATTTTAGCAAAAAATTTTTTTTTTGTAGGGACCAACACGTGCTGTAAGTAAATTAAATTTTTATTGTACTGCTTTGCTTTATAAGTGAGAAAATTTGCTTGAGTGTTTTTTTAATATTGATAACATATATTCAACTTTATTAGCTTGCTTTTTGTTTTTTTTTTGAATATCGTACGCGTTTAGACTCAATCAACAAATGCTATTGATAATCGTACTTATCAACAAACTAATAAAACTGAACCAATAATAACAACAAATATAAATCAACGATCAACAACAAATACTGTACGAGATACAAATCCTATACAAAATCAATTTCAAGATCGTCAACAGGTTTTTATTTTATAATTATTATTTTTTTTTATTCATTATAGATCGATATATAGTTTTTATTCTTTTTTTTTCTATATATTATTAATTAAAGCATCTTCTTTCTTTTTGCTCATTGCTATATCGATTTTTCTTGAATATATTATACATATACTTAAAATTAGATCTCTCTAAAACTTTGATGATGATTTAATATATCATATATTTCATTATATTTATTAATTTTGTTATAGGATGTTAGTGATGATTCAAACAAATCACGTCTTAAACAAGAACTTGATCGTTTGAAAGATGAAAATGAAAATTTAAAAGTATGTATCATCTTTGTTTTTTGCTCATTTTAACTTTCATTATTCTTTTTTGCATCTTTTTTTTTTTTCTGTAATTATTTGTCTTAAGTTTTATACTTTTTTGTTATTATTTGTATGTGCGCGCATATACCTATCATATCTAGTATGAAATTCAATGAATGAAACAAAAAAAATTTAATCGATCAAATTCAATTGTTAAACATTGATGAAAATTCTCAAGAGAGATAAGACAAATTCAATTATGGACCATTTTTTTTTTTATATTAATCATTGTTTTTTTCTTGAACATTTTATTTAATTAATTGTAAATGTTTAGTATTTCTAATAATTTAATGTTAACTGTTTTTTTTTCTTCTTCTTTGTATATCTATTGAATAGTATATTTAATTATTTTATCTTTCTTGCAGGAAAAACTTAAACAACAAGAATTACGACATAGAAGTACAGGTAGTGATCGTATTGATAATCCAGTTGTTGATCGATTTAAATCAAATCAACAACAAAAGAAAGGCCTTATACTCTTTGGTATTGCTTTAAATGAACAACTTGTTCTTGTGGCATTTGTTATTGCATTATTATTTGGTTTTTCAATCGGATATTTTCTCTTTTCGTGTGGTAACTAGAACAAAAAAAAAAGCCTCAAATATAAGTTAACAAAATAAAATCTAGATATATAAATAAATAAATAAATAAATAAATAAGTCTATATATATATATACATATAATACACACACTCATATTCATGTTTAATAACTTAGTTTTTATTTTATTTTTCTTGTGTGTGGGTTTTTTTTTGTTTCTTTGATGCGCACATGTATTGTAGGAAAACAAAAAAAAAAAGAAAAAAAGACAAGAATTCAAAAACTTTAGTCTCTTGGGTTCTTACAGATAGGTACCAAATCTTTATTATACGGTCTAAACAAATTATCTACTTCTTTTTTTTATCCTATGTTCGGTTTACTTTTCTTTCCGGTGTGTGAAAATGTTAGAAGATCTTGAGGGCTTCTTTTTTCTTTTTTTTTTTGTTTGTGTGCGCTTTAACAACTTTGGCTTTGATGTTTATTTGGTTGAATGTTAGTTTTTTTTGTTCGTTATGTCCTTTTTTCCTTCTTTTTTTTGTGTCATGATTAAATGTAATCAGTGTGTATTGTGTGTGTATGATTTAGATAAGATTTGATTATTAAAAGAAAATTCGAAAGCAAAATAGATTGTTTCAATCATCTAATCTAGGTTTATGTGAAGTTTTGTTGTTGTTGTTTTTTTTTTTTTGACAAACCTTTCTTTTTCTTGTTACTTCTATTTGTATGTTCATATTCAAGAGAGAGAAACTAAACAAGAAACATTTTCATCTTATAAATTGATTGAACAATATAATGAATACGCACATACATAAACATGATTTCTTTCTTTTGTTTTTTCATGCTTCTTTTTTTTTTCTTTCGTTCTCATTCAAGCATTATCGGTTTTTTTTTCAAGTGTTGTCTATGATTTTTTTTTTCTTTCTAATCGTTTGCTCCTTTTCTTTTTTTTTTCTTTTTTTGAAATAAGTAAACAGATAACAACAAAAAAAAAATAACTACGGAAAATTTTATGCAGTTATTAAACTTGCTGTCTTTTGTTTGAAGATATTTTGATTTTGAATTTCTTTTTTTCAAAAACGAAATAAAAAAAAAAATAGAAGATGCCTAGTGAAATTATTACATTACAACTTGGACAATGTGGTAATCAAAGTAAGTGGAATTTGAGTAAAAAGTTAATTATTAGAGAAAGAAAGATCAAGATTTTTTTTTTTGTGAAGGTTCATTTCAGAAGTGAATAGGGAAACGAATAGGTATTTAATTATAAGTCATGGAAATCAATCGATCAAAAGAATTGATTATGTATAGAAAGTTGAAAGTATAATGAAAAATATGAGTATTATTTTTAGCAAGACTTTTTTTGTAATGAAAAAAAAAAAAAAACGTTTGTTTGCTTAAAATAGATCATTTTCATTTTGAACTTTGAACATCAAAACAACATGCCATAAGTGTGTGATAGTCTAAAATTGATGAAAGCTCTTGACTAATAGAAAATTCTTTTTCCAATTAACGAAAGTATTGAATTTTCTATTAATAATATTTAATAAATAATAACTTGCAATTAGAACTATTTTCTTGATGCATGATTCAAAATTTCGTGATAATTTGTTTTCTTTTTTACTTGATGAATCTTTCTAAACTACTACTCTAACATTTATAAGAACTGAAAAAAAAACGTATACTTGTGAAAAACCTTAATTATGATATTAATAAAGATTGGCCGATTTGTTCTTTTTTTTTTAGTTGGTATGGAATTTTGGAGACAATTATGTGCTGAACATGGTATAAGCCCTGAAGGAAAATTAGAATCATTTGCCACTGAAGGTTCAGATCGAAAAGATGTCTTTTTTTATCAAGTTTGTTTTCATAATCTAATAAAATATAATATAGATGAATACTGTCTAATTTAATTAGGCAGATGATCAACATTACATTCCACGTGCAGTTTTACTTGATCTTGAACCTCGTGTTATTGATGGTATTTTGAAATCACCATATAAACATTTGTACAATCCTGAAAATGTCTATATATCAAAAGATGGTGGTGGTGCTGGTATATATTTATTACTTGATCAATATTATTCTGTTTTTTTTTTTGAAAAATTTAATTTTTATTATTAGGTAATAATTGGGCACAAGGTTTTTTTCAAGGTGAAAAATTGTATGAAGAAATTTTTGATATTATTGATCGAGAAGCTGATAATGGTGATTCTGTTGAAGTAAAATATTTGTTTATTAAAAATAATTTGAACTATTTTTAATTTTTTTTTTTTTTTTTGTCTTTTTGTTGTGAAGGGTTTTGTTCTTTGTCATTCTATTGCTGGTGGTACAGGTTCTGGTATGGGTAGTAATATTCTTGAAAAACTTAATGATCGGTAGATACAAAATAATAAAAAAAAAATACTATCAAGATTTTTTTTATTCTTATTATTGTTATTTAATAGATTTCCAAAAAAATTAATACAAACTTATTCTGTCTTTCCTATGACAAATGAAGTAGTACGTAA